ATTATGTCCATTCGGTCAAAAATTGCCAAAAATATTACCAGTAAAATGTTTAAAAAATGTTGACTGAAAAAATGATGGCGTTCAAAGGGGTAAAACACTCGTCAGAACTGTGCACATATGTAAGAATGGTTCACACAACAAGCCAGCTGTTCCAAGCTAGTAAATTCAAACAATTTTCAAAATTATCTGTCATGAGTAGTCATTGTTAATACCCCTGGGCGATTTCTCGGTCCTATGTTTGTTTTTTTTAAACCCAAGCTGCCGTGTAATGGCTCAGGTACTATATCTCTCTGAATGAGCCTGGACAAATGAAATTCAGTTTTGATACAAAAAATGCATGAAGGTGGCATATTAATTTCTGACCATTTTGGAGGAGCCATTTACCACATCTAATTTCTGTTGATACTAGACAAGCCAACTATTAACTCTAAATTATTAACTATGCTGTTGGTCCATATTACTTTATTTTTGACATGAATAACATTTCCCCCAATTCCAACAGGGACTTGTTTAATATCTATCTCTGAGAAAATTGAATAATTAAATAGTTTACGTAAAATAAGGTTGCAGTATTCACCTGTGTAAAGTAATTTCAAATGTTCAATCCAAAGACCTGCACACACTGAAGTACCATCTGCTAGTCTACCCTTTTGAGTTCAAGGCAACCATATGTTTGAATTAAAAATTTGTAAGCCATGAAGTCCATGTTCTTTCAAACCATGTAATACAAAGCCAAAATGACCTTTGTGGTACCAGTAAATACATGTTAATAGTATGAGAATAACAAGAATGAAATATTACTCAAAAAAAAATAGTTCTTGTGATATTAGGCACTGTTCAAGTGTGCATAACATATCAGAATGTTTTATCCTGTGTTTACTCATTACCATAAAATTTGTTTTGGCTCATTAGCATACAGATTATAAAAAATGAATAAAAAAATCTTGAAAAATTTGCAGCTCATAGTGGCTTGATATAAATATTAGAAAATAAATGTTGTGTATCAATTACAGTTGAAGCTGTTGTGGGGTAGCATTGATATATTATGTAGTCCTGAGATGAATGTGCCACCAGTAGCACCAGGCAATGAAGGTTCTGTTAGTGTTGAGTTTGAAGCACCCACTACCCCAGGACATTATCAGAGTCATTGGCGTATGTGTCATAAAGACAAGGAGTTTGGACATCGTGTCTGGTGCTCCATCATTGTAGATGAACCAGAAGTGCTGGAACCAAGCATCAAAGATGAAGTGATTCTAGTCAGAGAGGTTCTGGATGATCTAACAGATAAAGTAGAACAGGAAGAAGAGAAAGCTGTGGAAGCAGGGGAGGTGAGTTTTTGTATTTGACTGTGTGAGTATCCCTGTATGAAATTGAAGCTGTTATAGTTAAATGTCGTCTAATGTGTTTCTCATTTATTAAAACTTGCCTGCGTATTTGATAGTGTGAATATCTATATTGTGTATACTTGTATGTGAGTGTGTGTGTGTGTGTGGAGGGTGGTGCTTTTGTATTCGCCGCAAATCTGAATTACTCAAGGTCAAAATGAATCTTTCTGAATCAGGAGTGATGGGCAGTCCACAAATCAGGAGTGTTTAGCTAGCAAGTCTTAATATTGTGTCATTGTTATGAATTTCAAAATAAACTTTAGTTGTGAACGTACATGATATATTTTTATTAGACGCATAAAATCCTTAGGAAAGGATAAAAAGGGTCTTACAGAAAGAAATTAAAAAAAAAAAAACTACAATCTAAAAAAGAAAACAAAAAATAAAAACATGATTTATGACTTTTCATGCATGATAAAAACAATTAATTTTCAAATGTTTATGACATCTTGCGAATGCGCTTGTCTAGACATAGCAATAACAAAGTCATAATATCATTTGAGTGCTAGTTTAAAGGGCACTTCAATGTTGACCTTCTTAAACTTAAGGGATAAAAATATTTGGGGGGGGGGGTCAACACGGAAAATGTCAGAAAAATCATGTTTGTTTTTGAAAAGCACCAAAATATGTTACAGCAAAGCCAAATGATGATCAAAAAGTTTGTGGTTTTTGAGGCTAAAAATAGTTCCCTGTAGCATGAATTAGAATCAGTCATGCTTGTTTAAAAAGAGCATTACCATAGTGGCAAAAATATAAGATGTTTTGATAAAACAAAGTAGTGTTGTTTCTTTACTCCAGTGTCATTTACTGTATTTTAAATTTATTTATTCGGTACTGAAGGATACATGTACTTTATTATTAAGCTTAGAATACGATCCAGTGAAACTACTTTTTGTTTTGTTTACTTGTAATTAATGCCAAATCTGTAAAAATGAATTGGGTCAACCTCATACACTTTCTGCAAAAATAAGTAAAAAAAAAAAGACAGGTTAAACCTTGATCAGTCAGTAATTTATTGTACATACTTCTTCCACAATAGAAGTAAATAATATGGTTTCTAACTACCGTATGTACTCTAATTTAGGCGTCCCTCTAATTTAGGCGTCC